CTGAGTGCCTCCTTTTATGAGATGCTCAATGCACACTGAAGTCTAGTGAAATGCGCAACTAGAGACCATGCTGACGTTATACAGACTCCTAAAGATTTCAAATAACTGTCCAAGAGATTACCAAATAACCTGATTAATGGGAATTCTGGTCCAATTAGATCAATATCCTGAAGCATGAAAAAAAGGTCCTTTCAAATGAAATTCAGGTATGACAGAAGATTTGCTTCAATAAATATTCTGAACTTAATTGGCTTAAATGGACTAGGTGCTTCCATCTGTAAAAACACCCAACATGACATGACCGCATCCTGGGCTGTTTATCCAGCCCCTGTCTGGGGCCTGATTTACAGGCGATAAAGTGTCGCTGCGACCCGTTCCACGGGCAGGAGCCATCTGCTAATGGAGCTCTTAGCTGGGAGGTGAGCAGTGCGTGAGGCTCTCCGCCTCCACAGGAGGCCCTCCTGCTCTTCATCACAGTAAACAATCACTAACATGTGCATTAAAGAAAATTTAAATACATTATGACCCAATAAATACCATCATCAATCTGTATACAGTTTTCTTCTCTTAAAGATTTAAGGCCCACACACTTCAGTATTAGTGCCATACTATTACATTTATTTAGACACAGACAATTTTTAGCATGTTGGTACAGAGCTAACCGTATATAATCAGAGGATAATAATGTATGTTTTAGCTACTAGTACTCCCTTAGGAATTTCCACACAGAAGCTAAATTAACTAACATGCTACAATGACTTGTTTTTAGGAACGGGAAACTAGTTAATACATTGGCTCTGGAGATGGAGCCCAGAAGTTCACACCACCAGCCAAGCACTCTATCACTAAGCGACAGCACCAGTCCTTGGCTTTTTTTTCTTTGTTGTTGGTCGTGGGGCTTGAACTCTGGGCCTGGGCGCTGTCCCTTGGTTCTTCAGCTCAAAGCGAGTACTTGAGCCACAGTGCCACTTCTGGCTTTTCCTGTGTAATGTGGTATTGAGGAATTGAACCCAGAGCCTCATGCATGCAAGGCAAGCACTTTACCACTGAGCCACCTTCCCAGCCCCAGTCCCTGGCTTTTGAGACAGGGTGTTGCTATACAGTTCAGGCTGGCATTGAACTTACGACTCTCCTGCCTCAGCAGAGTGCTCTACTTGGCTGGAGTGCAGGGAACAGAAGTGCACCACTGTACTTTCATTTAAGACAAAACTATTATTGCACTGGATGAGAAAATTTAGGCTTAGAGTACATTTCAGGTTAGTGTGGCAAAATAAAGGCTTATCTTTACTTGTACTCATTATTTTATTATCATTAATTCTAAAGGCCCTTGGGGCTTATATTTGATTCAAAGGTGGCTCAGTGGTAGAGTGCATGCCTTGCATGCATGAGGCACCACATACACAGAGAAAGCCGGAAGTGGTGCTGTGGCTCAAGTGGTAGGGTGCTTGCCTTGAGCTCAAGAGCTGAGGGACAGCGCCCAGGCCCAGAGTTCAGGCCCCACAACTGACCAAGAAAAGGAAAGAAAAGAGAAGAGAAAGCTGGGCGCTAGTGGCTCATGTGAGACTCCTATCTCCAATAAACCACCAGAAAACCGGAAGTGGCGCTGTAGCTCAAGTGGTAGAGCGCTCGCCTTGAGCTGAAGAACTGAGGGACA